CCCAGGAGTGGGATTGCTGGATCAAATGGTAGTTCTATTTGTAGATTTTTGAGGAACCTCCATATTGTTCTCCACAGTGGTTGAACTAGTTTAAATTCCCACCAACAGTGTAGGAGGGTTCAATTTGGGGAATATTTTGGCGATTTTAAAATCTCATTCATGGGAACCAGCAGTTGGCGTAATTGCTATGTTGCTGGACTCCCACATAGTCGACCGCGGTTCACGTCCCGGACCCGGTGACTTAAAACTCACGCCGGGCGCGTGTGCATGCGTGCCCAAGATCCCGAGAGGAGAATGGAAGAGAAGGGATTACAGCGTGACCATCCCCCCTGGGAAGTGATTTCTCGCTTTCTGTCTCTATGTCTCTGTCTGTCTGGCGAGCGTATGCGCCCTATAGTGAAAATCTCCCCCCCCAAAAACAGAAAACTCATTCGTCTTACTCTTTACTGCTCCCTAGTTTCACCCATTCAATAGTAGCTATAGAAAAGTTTTGAGAAAGTTAAGCCAAGGGAATCTATTCTCATCTCTATTCCCAACTTTGGAAATCATGAGAGAAGGTGGCAGGTAGTTATTTATGTGTAAGAGTAACTGTGCAGGCCAGCTGGTGCCATAGTGGTTAAGGTGCTGAACTCCTACTAGACCGACCATGGTTTGATTCTCTGACCTTGCAGTACTAGACCGACCATGGTTTGATTCTCTGACCCTGCAGCTTGAAACTCACCCCAGGCATGTGTGTGTGTATGCCCGAAGTCTCAGGAGGAGAATGGAAGAGAAGGGATTATGGCATGACCATCCCCCTGGGGGATGATTTCTTGCTTTCTCTCTCTTTGTCTCTACTGTGAGCACATACACCCCATAACAAAAAATCTCTCTTAAGAAAAATAATTAACTGTGATATAATGTATAATTCTGACTAAATGATAAATCACAGAGTAAAAGCAAAAGTAAACTTCCCCTAAGATTTATTACTCACAGTTGTGGCAAGCTAAGGCAAGGCCGAAAGATTCAGCTTGGAATGAAACAGTGACCCCTTCTTGATTCAGAGTTGATCACTTACGTAAACAGTGAAAACGAGAGTAGTCAAAGGTACCAGTCCCCATGTCTTTTGTGCAGGGCAACACCGATAAAAAGGGTCAGATGGGTGCATCATGGATAGTGGACATTTCATTGCTGAGGAATCAATTTAGTAGGCCATTAGCACTTTTATCACCTGTCACCCTACTCCAAAGTGGACAAGGTAGCAAATTTCATATCTCATCAGAATCCAGGAGGCAGTGAGAAACTGGCTAGTGAGAGCTTCTCAGGGGAGATAAGAAGGCAAGTGAGAAAGGTTTATGTAGCAACTCTTCATGAGCTTCCCATGATCTTATGTTATTAGAGGATAATGGAACGTTCTTCCAAGACTCGTATCAGCTGCGGTTAAGCCTCACATATGTAACCTATGTGTAGTCATGCTAGATTGCTTGGGTGCCAGGGTGTTTCATATCAATACAAACTGATAAGTATAATCTCCGCCAAACCCATAGACTTCATCAGTATACTGTTGTACACTACAAAGTTGAAAATGAAAGGAAATGGGCCTGCTTTATTTCTTATTGATTTCTTTATTTCTTCTTTTAAGTAGGATTTCTTGGAGCTGGCAGGTGTTGTGGTAGTTGAGGGCGTTGGACTCCCACATGGCCAACTGTGGTTCAAGTCTCAAACCTGGCAGCTTGCTTTCTCACTTTCTCTCTCTCTCTCTTTCTCTCTCTGTGTGTTTCTCTCTGGTCAAAATAAAAACTAATAATGATGAATAAAGTTAAATAAAATTATTAAGTAATAATTTAAAGAAATAGAATTTCTTTCAAATGAAAAACATGCTACCTAGCTTTCGCTATTTTGATTTGACCTTTGAAATTTATTTTCAACCATGGTTAGGTATTTTTAAAATTCTTAGTCTTTCTCAATTATTTTCTCCATGTGAACAAAGCAAGTAACATGATTAACAAGGTGCCTAAACAATAATAAAGAATTTCACTCAAAACATACATATCTGACTTCCTGTGGCTCACTGTTAGACAATCTAATATTTGCTATCTATTTGAACATTTGGGTATTAACTTTTAGATGTTTACACACTGGATCAACATGTCTTAACCAATGACAGCTAGATTGTAGGCTTCTTGAGAATGTCAGCTGTCTAATTTTTTTTTTCTGCCTTATCACCAGTATTTATAAAACCAGACGTAAGGCAAGAACTAGATCTGGGAACACATGCATGGTCTTAATATAGCAAATGTTTAGCCTGTCCTGATTATTACAGAATCAGAACAGCGAGAATATGTGCAAGCTGTCTTTAATTTTATCAAAGTGAATACTCTGAGACACAGTCTAAACTGAATATTTGCTTGTTAGTTGTCTTTTTTTCATTAAAATGTTTCCTCTTTTGTATTCTATAGAGATAGTACTGATATCACTGTGAAGTTCACCAGCCGCTTCCTCCGTTTTTTTTGAAGCTATACTGCTATCAATTTCCAAACCCAAGACTACAATCATAGGTGCTACCATGACTTTTGCTCTTAAAGGGGAAGTCTGCAAATTTAAAGCCATTGTAAGTAAATTTTTTCTATTTTGTGTGTCTTTGCTTCTCTTCTCAGGCCATGTATGTGACAAGCATGGCTGTTTTTCCACATTTTATTTCTACGCATCTCTTGTTCCTTAATCATCTTTCTTGTTTTTGTTTTGTTTTCTACTTCTTTTTTTCAATCACTGTGTATCATTACAGCATACCAAATGAATTTCCCCATCATGAATACTGTATATTGGTTCAGTCAAAGATATTACCACATGCATTCTTCCGCCATGGAAACATGACTTAAGTTAAAGCAGTCCTGGGTATAATTTGAAGATTTATTTTATATCTGTGCTCTTTTTATAATACAAATATGTCAGTGTAGCCACTTCATTATAAGCACAGGCATGCCATGCTCATGCACCTCTTACATAGATATTCATGCACACACGCCTGCCTCTTCCTTATGTCATGCATACTTTGTATTTGACTGATTAATTTGCAAATCTGAGATTATGTTCAGTCAACACAACCAATTTTATGCAAATCAATTTTTGTGACATTATTTTGACTAATAGTTTAATTATTAGCACAGTATGCTGGATCAATGATGAGAGAAAAGATATTTTTATCCTTTCCCACCCAGATTTGAGCAGTACAATGTTTGTGGGTAAAGGAAAATTATATAAATCAGTTTAATTCTTGTAAGATTTCATAAAATGTAATATTTATATTATGTGAAGTAATATTTAAAGGGACAGTTTGTGTATATATATATTTAATATATTTAATTTCAATTTATTTTATACATTCAATCACTGTACATCACTTAGCTTATAAAGTGAATTTTCCAACATGAATACACTTCACACCAGTCCAGATAGGCGTATAGACAACGTGTATAGACATGTTATCATCAACAGATAACAATCCATTTCTGTGTCCCATAAATGTCTTGTCTCTCTATTTGTCTTTTTAATGCCTTATGGCTGAAACTGAAAGATTAGAGGATATAGAAACATGGAAAATGGTTATGGATAACGGGTAACATGTGGGGAGAGGGGGGGGAATCTGAGGAAAGACAGTAAGAACAGTTTGTATATTTTAAGTTTCTATTTTATAATTCAGGATATTCATTTTTATTATCATATAGTATGATATATGCATATATATTACATATATTTTTATTTTAGGAAATCATAAAATGTGAAGCACCGTGTTATCAATCAAAGGAAATCATTTTGAAAGTAAAAAACCCCTTTAACGCTGCTGGAAATTTCAAGTAAGCTATTGTTTTGGTATAAATTCATTGCAATCAGCTATCGCCACTCTTAAGGGAAATATGTAATTTTCTTCATCTTTCCAATGTCAGCTATTTTGAGGAGAAATTACATGTGTTTGTATTTCTATAAATTTATAAGCCTCTTCACATAAAATAGAATAAATAATGAATATACATCAATTTCTCTTAAAATGCTTTTTGATCATATCAAACTTAGTCATTTTATCTATAAGCTTTCTGTCGAGATTCAGTGTCCCTCTATTTTTTTGAGGTTTATAATTCATAGGCGTTTTACTTCTGATCTTATTCCATCTGTTAATTTCTAAAACTGACATATTGATTCAAGCAGAGAATCCATTTTGACTTTGGGTATTATGATTAATATATCACATTCAATATGCATCTTGATATTTAGTAACAATAACAAAAATACAAGTTTGAGATGGAAAAAACAGTAAAATTCTTAGATGTTATTTAGGAACACAATGGAAGACCAGCCTTGTGGGAGCTGAATCTTATATGGTTGACCATACAGTTTGAGTCCTGGACCTGGCAGTTTGAGAAACAATATCAGGTGTAGATGCTCGCATGCTTAAAATCTTGACAGGATAGAGAACTGGAGAAGTGATTGTGGTGTGACTATGCACCCATAGGGTGGTTCTTTCTTCCTCAATCTCTCTGTCTCTGTCTCTCTATCTCTCTCTGGCAATCACACATGCCCTCTGGCAAAACTGGGAAAATAAAAGTAACACAATAGTAAAACAACATTCTAGAAATTGACATGTTGAGTGAGAAGAAGAATAATTTAATGCTAGTCGATTAATATACACATTATTTTAAGGGCATAACCAGTATAAAACTGACCTAGCTTATAATGTTATTCTTACAAAAATGATTAGAATTTGTTGTTATTAACAATCACATGTTAAACATACTTTAAAATAAATATCACCATATGTATTTACCAAAATAGTATGCTGCACAGCACATTGACTGGATCTCATTAGTTTTAGTCAAAATTTATCATTAAATTTACATTTTAACAAATAAGGCAATCCAAAATAGATTTTTCTTTTTTAGAGAGACACTTTTGCTATAGGGTGCATGCACTCGCCAGAGAAACAGAGGAAGACAGAAAGTGAGAAATCACTCTCCATGTGGGATGGCCACACCAGTCCCTTCTCCTCCATCCTCCTTTTGGGATTTTGGGCACATATGAGAACATGCAGGCATGAGTTTTAAGCCACCAGGTCTGAGACTCGATCCACAGTTGACTGGGAGTCTAGTGATGTAAACCTTATGTCATCTGCTGGTCCTCTCCAATCTAGATTAACTGACCAGATTGTTGACTCCATGTCTGTTTACCAGACTGGTGTTTCTTAAATTTTTTTTGCAAAACAACACTATTTAATGTTCATTCTTGTCTGTTATGTTTCTAATAACAAATACCTGAATCTGGTTAATTTTTAGAGAATAAAGATTTATTCAGCTCAGAGTTTGGAGATCTAAGGTCCGGGGACCAGTACCGGTGGGCACTTTTCAGTCTCAACCATACCATAAGGATGAGAGCAGAGCAGATATACCCATCAGTGAGTCTGTCTCATTCACTCTCCTTAGAAACCCACCAGCTCTCAATCATGGGGGCTCTGCCCTGATTACCTTAATCTGGCTCTCATTCCAAAAGACTCACTTTTTTTTTTTTTTAATTTGTCTGAAAGCGTGCACACTCTCCAAGAGGCAGAGAAAGAGAAAGAGAAATGGTTATTTTGCAATCCTTTCTCCATTTCTCCCTCTTTTGCAGATTTCAGACATGCATGTGTACAAACCCAATGTATTTCTCAAACCACTAGGTTTGGGACTCAAACCGTATGATGGCTGTGTGGGATACAGCCACCTTTTTAAAGTCTTTAAATTAATTTTTTATTATTATTCATACATTAAATCGCTATACATCATTTAGATTGTGAAGATATTTTACCCAGCATGATATACACCTCAGTCCAGCCCAGCTGAGATCTTAATCGCCAGGCTACAGACTGGTCCCAAGCCCCACTTTTGACACCATAACTGGATCAAGTTTTTAACTCTCTTAATTCCATTTCAATTGCTCAAAACCTGAATTTGGGAGGGACATATTAAAACTATAGCAATGTTGTATAATGACTTTTTTTGAATGTTATAAGAGTAGTATTTGCAAGTATTTTGTTGAGGATTTTTAAAATTTATAATTAGAAACATTTAATAGTGTACTTCCTTTTTCTTGTGATCTTTCTCTCTCTCTTTTTATTTTTTTTGGGGGTATGATTAGTATTGAATGTAAGTCTTACAGAACTAATGAATTAATTGGAAAATGTTCCTGTCCATTGTTTTTTAGGGAAGATTTTGTGAAAGATTGGCATCAATGTACTTTTGTACTTTTTTTTTTTTAAGTTTTGTATAGAGTTTGTGCACCTGCCAGAGAGTAAGGGAAAGTGAGAAATCACCCCGCAGGGAGTATGGCCATGCTGCAGTCCCTTCTCCTCCATTCTCCACTTTTGGGCATGTGACATGTAGCTGGGGTATTTTTCAAGCCTCCAGATCCAAGATTCAAACCACTCAGTTGGCCATGTGGGAGCTAGCCACCGTAACCACCATGCAGTTGACTGGCCTGATATTAATTTTTTTAAGGTTTGATACAATTTACAAGTGAATCCATCTGGTTCTGAACTTTGCTTTCTAGGAAGTTTATTCCTTTGCTAATTTCATCTCTTTATTTGTTGTTGACCTATTGAGATTTCCTGTTTCTTTTTAAATCAGTTCTAGTATTTTGTTTTGTTTTAGGAATTTGTGCATTTCTTATTTATCTAATTTATTGGCACAGAGGTTTTTATAGATTCCTTTATACTCCTTTTTTCCTTTTAATGTCTAGAAGGTCTCTGGTGATATTGCTTATTCTATTCTTCATTTTGGTGCTTTGATTCTTCTTTCTTGTATTCTCGATCAGTCTATGTAAAAAATAGTGATTTTATTGAACTTTTCATAGAAACTCCTTCTGGTTTTCTTCTGTCCTTCAGCATTCCAGATGGAGAACATGTTCATTGTATTTAAACAGTGACTTTTCAAACAGAAAAATATGCAGTGAGAGCTTATTTCAAAATGGCACAAGCAACTGTGTATGAAAAATCTAATATTAATTGTGTTGGTTTATCCTGTTCGTTTATTTGTCAAATAATATCCTTGTGACTGTGTTTTAGTCAAAACAGATTATTACTAAATAATCTGCTATTACTTTGTTAGTAATTAATTATTATTTTGTAAATTTTAAGTGTGAATTTAGTACCTAAAATTAAATTTAGATTTCTCTCTGTAATTCTTCTTTATGTACTTATCTGACTGTAGTTTTATAATGACATAGGGGAATCTGGTAGTCTTGTACATATCTTGCAAACTTCATAGTTTAAACTTTACTACTGTTAAGTATAATTTTTAAAATATTCAAGTATTTACTATTCTTATAATTCCTTACCACTCTCAAATAAAGACATCAGAAACATCGATTTAAAACAAAAATATGGGAACCAATGCTAGCATTCATGCATTAGGATATATGAATGTGTTACACTTCATTTATTTGGATTTTTTGTTTGTTTGTTTGTTTGTTTTTGTTTTTTTTTTGAGAGGTTTTTGCCTTAGGGCACATGCCCTCCCAGGGAGAGAAAGAGAGACAGGCACACTGAGAGGGAACGTGAGGAATCACCTCCCAGGGGGGAATGACCACGCTGCAATCCCTTCTCCTCCATTCTCCTCCCAAGATCTTGGGCATGCGTGTGATTTTTAAAAGACCAAGTCCAAGACTGGGACTGCAGTCAGCCATGTGACAGCCCAGTGACATAACCACTGCACCATCTGCTGGCTCCACATTTCAGTTTGTAGATCTAGTTTTGTGTATATGCGTTTGTGTGTGTGCAAGTCTTATCACAACTAAGAAAAATTTCACTAATCATATTATTACTCTGTTCTTTTATTGTAAAGCTAGTATGGGATTCTCAATAAATATTACCTAATGAAAAAAGTTTTCTTTGACAAGTCAACTTTAAATAATCTCTCTTTTTGAAAATTATCCTTTTTATTAACAATATTATGCAAATTTTATTCACTTCTGAAGATAGAAGTATGTCATGACATTTTATGACATCTTTCACTTATTGCTAGAGTATCATTTTTATACTGTCTTCCCCCTACATTGTGGGCCGTCTAAGGAAGAAGGGATAATATAGTCATGTTTGTGTTTTTCACACCCCATCTCACACCTAACACACAAAAAAGTGCCTAAACTATTTTTTCAAATGAATAAGTATTATCATTAAGGGAGGACTGTATTGCTGTGTCATTCTAGAAGATGGCATAATTATTAATGTACTGATTCGCTACCCACATTTCATATCTACTCCTGAAAGATGTATTTCTATTTTTAGAAATGGGATTGGGGGAGAACAGCAGTTAGCATAATGACTATGTTGCTGAACTCATGTAACTGACCGCAGTTTGAATCCTGGATCAGGCTTAAACTCACGCCAGGTGCATATGTGTGGGTGCCCAAGATCCTGAGAGGATAATGGAGGAGAAGGAATTGCAGCGTGGCCATCCTCCCTGGGAGGGGGGCAGGGGTGATTTCTCGTTTTCTATCTCTCTCTGTCTTTCTGGTGAGCGCACATGCCCTATAGCAAAAACCTCTCCAAACAAACAAACAAAAAAGAAATAGGATTAGAAATTATGAAACATGTACAGCTCTGGCTATTCATTAAGACTAGTGTGTGATTTATTCTTTCTGGAATATCACTTAGAGCAGTCTTTTATCTTTAAATTTCCTTGCTATAAGAATTCAGTGTTGCCTTTCCATTAAAAAAATATATTTCACATATTCCTATTTCAGATCTTCCTCTTCTTTGTAACATATATAGAGTTCAGAATGAGAACACGTGAACTTTTATAAGTATAATTTCTTTCTGATTCAAATTATATTTTATGAATGATAGGGGAAAAAGTAAATCAAGTGTATTTTGTAGTCATCTGAATTTTGTTGTATTGAAACTTAAAGTTTTTTTTTTCATTTATTTCAGTGTCATTTTAGTGGAATCTACAACACTGATCTCTTCTCCATCACAACTAATGGAATCTGGACGTTACATGGCCTATAGGTAAATATATATCTATATATAAATATATATCTATATATAGTTAATTCATGCATCTAAAAGAAAGATAGAAAGTGACCCCTAATAGATTTCTGCCATGCTGTGGTTCTTCTCCCCAGTCCTCCAGCCAGCCAGAATCACAGGTGTACCTGGAGTACTCAGGTCAACCCAGGATTTGAACCCAGGGCCTTCCCATATGGCTCCAAGCAACATTCAGTGGCACCCCACCACCCATACATCTGTGACCAGGCCAATGTCTATATATTTTTTAGCCATAAAGATCTGGGAGAAGGTCTGAGAAATTAGTACTCAAAGAAATACATAGTTACACAATAGTTTTCATTTATTCAAAATGTTTAATTGGCATTGTTTACACTCTTATTCAAGTATATATTTAAATTTTATTAGTTTTGGAATCAATATGCACTTGATTAAATGCAATGGGTTTTCATTACTCATAGTAGCTATAGTCTATAAAATTGCCACAAACATTCAGCTACTGAACACAAACCCATTGCTCCTAGGAGAAATGTACATATAACTATATACATATCATAGATTATAGTCATGAGTTCTAAAAACGACCCATCTTAATAGAGTGTTTTCTTGATTTAAAAAAAAACACAATACTTAAAAGTATTAAATAATCTGCCTGAAGCCACCCCATTAACAGACCCAAGAGAAGGGATTCGAACCCTGTCCATCTGGGTTGAGTGCTGCATTGCCCAGCACTGCTCCCTGTCATCTTCATCATCATCCATCATCTTTATACCTCTCAGCATCTCTGTAAAAGGACTAAAGCTGGAAGGCCCAGAGTCCCCTTGTCTGACGTAGGTCAGAACTGGCAGCATGATGGATTTCTGGACTTTTTGCATGTCCTTGAACACTATGAAAGCAACACAAGTAATGATTTTGGGATTACAAATAGATTTTCGTGAGTAGGTAAATTTGTCAATACTGAATTTGGGGATAATGAGGATCAACTGTATTTAAACTTTTTCCACCTACTTTATGCAATCTGTATTCAGTTTAAAATGGAACTTTAATTTCTGAATAGAGAAACAGAATTTTAAAACTTAGATTGTTCTGTATTCCTCTTATGTATTGAAATATAGAATAGTTGGGGCCAGTAGGTGCTGATGCCATGTGATCAACTCTGCAGGTTTGAGTCTTGAACCCAGTGGCCTGAAAAACATTGTGTGTGTGTGTGTGTGTGTGTGTGTGTGTGTGTGTGTGCGCGCGCGCGCGCCCAAAATCCTGAGTGGAGAATAGAGGAGATAGGATTTTGGTGTTGTCATCTCCACTAGGGGGTGATTTCTCATTCTCCCTCTCTCTCTCTCTGTCTCTCTATGGTGAATGCACATGCCCTATGGCAAAATATATTTTTTTAAAAAGATATGTAATTGTCAATATATATTTTTAATCAGGCAGAAAGAAATTTAGGTCTCTATTAATAAAATACATCCTGGGACCAGCAGATGATGTAATGGTTCCGTCGCTGGACTACCACATAGTCAACCCCAGTTTGAATTCCAGGCGTGGCAGTTTAAACCTCACACTGGGCACATAGGCATGCCCATGCATGCCCAAAATCCTTAAAGGAGAAAGGAGGCGAAAGATTGTGGCATGGCCATCCCCTGAGGAGAGGGTGATTTCTCACTTTCTGTCTTTCTGTCTTTCTCTTTCTCTCTGGTGAGCACACATGCCCTATAGCAAAAATCTCTCCAAAAAAATAATAAAATAAAATAAAATGCATTCTTATGATGACCATTACTACTAGGCTGTTAATTTATTATACACCTTTGTTTGGCTCCATGTAATGCTTGATGTCATTAATGTCATCTTTTAGATGTAAATAATGTATCAGGAGGCGAGAATTTGGCAAGTGTGATAAATGACTGATGTTAGTTATCAGAAATCATTCAAATTTTTGTGCAGATCTTCCTAAGATTGAGTTTACTTTACTTTCCTAAATCATGTTGTATCCAAATCAATACTTTTGGGAGACTATGAATAGTGCATCTATTATAAGATGTTTGATTTCTTCAATTATTATTCTGTAAGAAACTTGTTAGAGAAGAGAGCCTTTTGTCTCACTGCATCTTTTTAAATATTATTTTCATGAGATATTCGTAGTCTTGCTTTCATATTTTGCTCTAGTGAACAACAAAGCATGAACTAATGCATTAAGCTGTAAGCGGCATTATATATAGTAAAAGAATAAGAGGACTATATGTATTTTATATGAATTTCTTTCTGATTTGAAATGCTAGTATTGCTAAAAACACTTCAGTAAATAGTTCTAGACTTTTATCATTTAAGTCCCTTGTTTCTTCTTGATTAAGTGGCTTCTTTTTGATTATATTGTCTGAATGGCCTTAGTGTAACAATTGTGAAAAATTTATAGTATCACATTAAAACAGAGCCACCTCTCAAAGCAATGTTTTAGGTATTTGTGAGCATAAATAACATGTTTGACTTTGTAGGAACATGCTCCATGAACATAATGACAACAGTTAAGAAGTTCTTACTCTAATTAAATCCAAAGGAATTATCAGGCAAGGATCAGTGCAGTAAACCGATTTCAGCCACACTTTGGAATTGAACAGTTGAGAACATCTGTGTTCAGAAACAAGCCTTTTGTCAAGTAATTTTTATAGTGACATAATTTGCTGGTTTTATCCTGTGATATTGAGTTATTTATTCATTCAACAATTTTTTTTTTCTTTTTTTGGAGAGGCTTTTGCTATAGGGTGCATGCTCTTGTCAGAGAGACAGAGAGAGACAGAGAAACAGAGAGAGACAGAGAGACAGAAAGCGAGAAATCACCCCCCAGAGGGGATGGTCATGCCACAATCCCTTCTCCTCCATTCTCCTCTCGGGATCTTGGACACTCACGCACATGCACTTGGCGAGAGTTTAAGCCACTGGGTCCAGCGGCATATATATATAGTATAAGTCGACTACATGGGAGTCCAGCAACATAGCCATTACACTAACTGCTGGTCCCTGTTCAACAAGTTCTTACTAAATGGTACCATAAGCACTGTTCTTAATACCGGAGAAATATATGGACAACTAAGTCACATATCTGGCTCTCAAGGAACCAACCATCACATAGAGAGGAAAATAAAAATATTTACTAATGGATGCAGTCTTTCAGGGTAGAATACATTCACTCTTATATGTTATGTGAAAAAAATGGTAATTTCATTGCTAAAGAATATCACTATCCAGATATTATTGAGAATTTCATGGAAAAAAAATGAAGACATGTGAGGAGAATTTTGAAGTACTAAGCATTTTTTTCTCCACAAGTAACACTATAGTCAGGTATTTTCCTGTATTCTATACAAATTGGGATCTGAAATATGAGTAAGTTCTTGATGACCAGAATTTAAGGGAGGAAACCCTTTCTGTAAGAATAAAGAGTATGTGGGGCCAACAGATGTCATAGTGGTTATGTTGCTGGATTCCCACATGGCTGACTTTAGTTCAAGTCCCAGACCTGGTGGTTTGAAACTCAAGCTAGGTGAGTGTGTGTGCATACCCAAGGTCTTGGGAAGAGAATGGGAAAGCAGAGATGGCGTGATGGCCATTCACCCTGGGAGGTGATTTCTCACTTTTCCTCTCACTGTCTTGGTCTCTGTCTCTCTCTCTCTCTCCAGCGAGTGCACATGCCCTAGGAACATATAAATAAGAGTCAAAAATGTGTTAAGCATTTAATATTCTGCTTTAAAATTATTTTTCACAGACCTACATTTCATTGCAGGCTATATGCTCTGTCTCCTTAGAGGCTTCATCATTCATCCCTGTGTCCTAGAATAGTGTAGCTCAAAATAGCTACTCAAATGAAAGAAGGCCCTCAGAGTGCAATTTTCCTGGATCCTAATCCCTGCTGCCACAACCGTCTCCCACCCTACACAAACAATAAAAGATGGTGTTTTGAGAGCCACAGCTTTAAAATATTTTGTTCTTACAACACTGAGTAATTAGTAGCAGTTAGAATTAGGCAAGGACTGCTATAGCAAAAGTAGAATGGGTTACTTTAGCAACGAATATTTATTTTTCAGAGTTCTGGAGACTGGAAATCTAAAATCAAGACACTTGCGTATTCCATGTCCAGTGAAGGGCTTTGTTTTGATTAATAGACAGAAGTCTTTTTTGCTGTGTTTCCAGCTCTCTGGAGTCTCTTTAAATGGCACTAATTTGATTCATGGGAACTCTACTCTCATGGTCTAACCACCTCCCAAAGATCTCACCTACTGCCCACACATTGTGGACTAGATTTCAACATTTTAATTAGGGGAGCAAAAAGGGAGAAGGACACCAACGTTCAATCTATAATAGTAAGTCTCTAAGGAAGCAGAGTAAATGGAAGGCTAAATTTATATAATAAGAATATGTAGCTCTGAGTATATGGTCCTCTTGCTCTAGATTAGGGTTTCTTAACTTCGAAAAAAAAATTTTACATTCAGTCACTGTGTATCATTACAGCATATCAAATTAATTTTTCTATAATGAATATACTGTATATTGATTCAGTCAAAAACACTACCATACACATTATAATCAACAGATTTCTTTCTACCTTGGGTTATTGAGCACTTTGGTAGTCTCAAGAAACTATTGCACTTCATAGAATAGTGTTCTCTAAATATATAACGTAAGATACAAGGAATAAAGAGTGTATTAAGTCTACTTAGGATGCCATAACACAATACCTCAGACTGAGTGGCTTAAACAACAGAATATTTTTTTTTGTCATGGTTTTGGAAGCTGAGGAGTCTAAAACCAAGGTGCCGTAAGGCGGGTTTTATTTTAAGGCCTCTGTCTTGGCTTGTAGATGCCTATGATCTCCTTTCATGGTCACATTACCTCTTACCTCTATGAGCATGGAAGAAGGGGAGAAAAAGCTCTGGTGTTCTTCTTATAAGGACACTAATTCTATGAAATCAGAGCCCTTCTCTTCTTTTTCTTTTTTCTTTTTTTTTGAGAGGTTTTCACTACGGGGCGCGTGTGCTCGCCAGACAGAGAGAGACAGAGAGACAGAAAGTGAGAAATCACCCCCCCCCAGGGGGGATGGCCATGTCGCAATCTCTTCTCCTCTGTTCTCCTCTCGGGATCTTAGGCAGGCACACACACGTGCCTGGCGTGAGTTTAAGCTGTCGGGTCTGGGAGTTGAACCATGGTTGACTACATGGGATTCCAGCGACATAGTCATTACGCTAACTGCTGGTCCCCAGAGCCCTTCTCTTAAGGCCTGATTTAATCTTAATTATCTCCTTATATTCCCTACCTTCAGGTAGAGTCCTATTGGGTGCTAAGATTTTAAAATATCAATTTAGGGGAGAGGCAACACAATTCAGTCCAGGGCACAGAGGAATCTGATATTCCAGTAGATTACCAACATTTAATTTTTTTATAGAGAGATATTTGTGCTATAGGGCATGCTATAGGGCAATACTATCTCAAGATACATGCAAGAAGGGAATTGTGATACAAACATGTCTGTGATTATTTGGTGATCAAGTCATGGGTACACCTATTACTATTGTAATTTGATTTAAATCCTTTTAAAAGTAGAAATCATGAAGAGATTTTTTTTCCCCCTTTTTGTGGAGAGGTTTTTGCTATAGGATGCATGCACTTCCCAGAAAGACAGAGAGAGACAGAAACAAGAAATCGGCCCCCAGGGGGGATGACCACACCACAGTCTCTTCTCCTCCATTCTCCTCTTAGGATCTTGGGCATGCATGCACACACACCCGGTGTGAGTTTAAGCCACTGGGTCTGGGATTCGAACCGTGGTCTGCTACATGGGAGTCCAGTGACATACCCATTATGTCAACTGCTGGTCCTAAAGAAGAGACTTTTTTCTTGATTCACATTTATGTATCCACTCTGTCTTTGGACCTCAGATTAATGTCTGTTGCTTTAGATATTTCTGAACTGCCCAAGAACCTAACCCGTATAAGGTGACTTCGAAAATTTATGCAAAAAATGTAATTAAAGTGTGAGTTTATTTTAGTGCAAAAAAATTGAAATCAATGTATGATTTTTTCATATTATGCATTTTCTATGAACTTTCTGAAGTCCTTGAATACAATAAGCAACAAACATCCCATTTTTAACTGCCCTCCAAATGTCCACCTTTTTTGAGGAACTTCTACACATGTGGAAGACAGAATGAATCTAAACCTCAGTTCTCTCATATTCTTCTCACAATGCATAAAAACTAAACTTGAACCAGATATTTTGGTATTTGGTTTAGTTTCCAGCCCTAATTTCTGCCCTGGATTAACTTTACAGTCATTTGTGATAAAGCTCTAACTGATGCTTTCGGTGAAGGCTTGAATAGGAAGTTGCTCTTAGGGTGCCCTGAAGGAAACTAATGTAATGTGATTTTGGTCATTTTAGCTTGAAAAGAGCTGCATTCCACTGCAGAGGAAAATGAAATTTTACCTTGTGCACTTCAAAAGTAGGCTATACTCGTGACTTTTGCCTACTACTGCATTAGCAGGGAATATTCCATTACCTTATCTACAGTCTTTTGTATGGCCCTTTTGATGCTGTTCCTTTCTTAAAACCAATGGTTTAAGGATGCTTCCCCTGCCTCCCATTATAACGTCAACACTCTATGAGAATCTAGGAAAATGGTAACATGGACGGAGGTTCAGGGACTGGCAAAAAGGTAAATGAGTTAAGTTGTCTACTATTTGATCTTTGAGACATCCAAGATAATGGTTTTGTTAACAAGTTGGATTTATTACTGAATGTCTAGACTCAGGAATATTGGTCAGGTAAAATAGAATTTTCCTAAGCCAGGTTATTTTATTAAATTATTTTCTGATGTCTCTAGCGATTATGGTAACCATTACTTTCATTTAAAAAGAACCAATAAAATTCACAGGAATGTAACGTTTTCTGTATTCACTATAACAACTATAGGTAATCCAATTTTTCTGAGTTTGAAAGACAATTGCCTGTTTCCTTTAGGGATAGGCAATTATTTCTTTTTCTCAAAAGATATTTTCATTACTTGTTTCTGACAAAATAAACAAAGTAAATAAAAAGGATATGAAGCCCAACTTGGTCTGATTTTCTAAACACTATAAAAATGCTTAAGGACTAGGCATTACAAATATTGAACATATGAGGTATGGAGATGATCTGGATTTTAATAAAGCATTCTACCTAGAGCTCCATTATCTAAGGGATGGCGATGGAGCCATATATTGAGAAATAATCAATATTTTTTTGTTATTCTGTGCAAATAATTACATAGAGTAGAAAGAATAATCACTAAATAATAGTTTTTGTTATTCTGTACAAAGAATTACATAGAGTAGAAAAAATAACTACTAAATATAAATGATTTTTGCTACTGTGTATAGAGTTACACAAAGCAGAAAGAATAACTACTATAATATCTATTATGTCTATGGCCACCTTAAAGTGTCTGTCAAATACTTAAATTACATAAAATATTAAATGTCCTTTACTTTTCTAAAATCGTGTTATTTAGACTGCTAAGTAGAATGTTCATGGGCGAAATAAAAGGACAGAATAATTTCAAGAAGTGGTAAATAACCTCATTAAGAATGTGGTATGGTAAGGGCCAACAGATAACATAGTGGTTAAGGCACTGGGCTTCCACATGGTCAACCGCATTTCGAGTCCCAGACTCGGCAGTTTAAAACTCACGCCGAGTGCATGTGTGTGCATTCCCAGAACGCTAAGAGGAGAATGGAAGAGAAGGGATTGCTGCATGTCCATTTCACCTGGAAGGTGGTTTCTCACTTTCTCTCTCTCTGTTTCTCTCTGTGTCTCTGGTGAGTGCATGCATTCTGTAACAAAAATTTCTGTCTAAAAAAAAAAAAAAAAGAATGTAAAGAATGTGGTGTATGCTAGGAACTCATGAATGTGTCCATGATCCAGGCTGGCTGAGGCTGGGGGTAGATTGTGGCATGAAGACCCTATTGAAGGTGTCTCTCTCTCTCTTTCTCAATGATGAAAAAAATAGTTTAAAAAGAATGTGATAAAGAGAGTGTTATTCCTAAAAATCAAATGGAGAAAAGGAATGAAAATATTTAGAATAACTACTTAGAAATAGTAAATGTATTTTAATAGCATCAAATTCAGGTAAAAGCATTTGACAAGCTGATTGAATATGGGGCTTATTGTATTCTTCGGGAAAAAAATGAAGCAATCAATACTTAAGAGCCCAAATATTAATTGACAGTTCAGTGAACAAAGTAATTATGAATACTTGAAAAAATAGGGGAAAATTGATGGGCTCTAGAAGATCTGGAACCTTTCAAGAAAGGCAGTAATTTCAGGTTGTGATCCGTTAATTAATTTTTCAAAATGCAGCCAGAGATTAAACAATTGCTCAAGTCACTTTCTACCTTCATAAAAATGAAGTGAATGTATAAAATATAAATATAGAGATGTTTTTCAAGAAAGCGTGTTCTAGAACCACTTTTGTGGAGAGTACCCAGTTAGTCTTAGATTTAGACCACTTAATTTTTGAGTCACTGGTTAAGGTCTTTATCATAATTTTCATATTTGTATTTATCTACAGTTATATAAAATTTACAAATGAATTATCTTTGCCAAAGTTTTGTAAAAAAAAGTTGTGAAAATATGAATTATTGTTAGTTTCATTTCTTGTATTTTTAATTTTTTTTAATTTCTAAAGTGATAAGAACATCAAATGATGTTTGAAATATATCTGTAATTTTTGCATATCATATTATAGGTAGTCATGATTTTTAAGGCTCTATAAGACTCAAATAAGATAGAGAATTCTATTTGAGTTTTATCTGTGGTTGACGTTTTCCTATCTTCCTATGGCAGAAATAATAGCTCAAGTAATGATGAATGTGATCTGGGTCAGTACCATTCCCGTGAACAACGTTCCTTCAGAACCTGTGAGTACCTCAAATAAAAGTTTATATTTGTTTTCATGCCTAATTGTTACATGCAAAGCTTAATATGAAATGAAATATTCAATGGGATTTATTAAATAGAATGAAGTGCCCTAGGGATTGCTAGTTGGAGCGGTGGCTAAAGAGTTGGTCCTCTGTCTTTTTTTTTTTTTTCCTATTGGGCAATGTGCACTCTCCAGAGAGACAGAGAGATAGAAGTAAGAAACCACTCCCTGAGGGGGATGGCCACATCATAATCCCTCTCCTTCATTCTCCTTTTGGGATTTTGGGCATGCACACACCTATGCCTGGCATGAGTTTCAACCTACCAGGTCTGGGGCTCAAACCACGATTGTCCACATGAAAGTCCTTAACCACTAAGCCACCAGCTGGCCCTGCTCCTCTGTCTTTTCTGTTGATGACATTTTTAAAGGACTCTGGCCACATGTCGTTCACTGCTGAATCTTACTTACAATTTATAAGAATGTGTTTAGATATATTGCCTTTATTTCTCTTTTTACTAATTCTGAATTGTTCAAACCTATTTAGGTGACAAATAACATGAAATTTAAAATCGTAAGGAGATCATAGATTTACTTTGCTTTATGAAATTACTATAAAGGGAAAAAAAAGTAGAAAAGAAAAAATGGATGAAGTGATGGATAGGAAACTGAATATAGAAATGTTGTAGTTATTCATAGTTACAGAGCAAACCACTCCAAATATATTGGTACAAGACGATGAAGATAAAAAAATGATTATTATCTCTCACACTTCTAGGGTGACAGCTCAGCTGCCATCAGATAGAGACTTGGGTTCTAGTCATCTCAAAGGTCTTCTCCTTTACATGTCTGATGGTTAATATTACCTTTGTCAGAGACTTCAGCTGGGCTGTTGGCCTTGACATTTGCATACATCCTCTCCGTGTGGTCAGGCTTCTTCACAGGATGTGAGTTAAGTGCTAAAGACAAGTGAGCTAATAAAGAGAGAACTAGAAAGAAGATGCATTACATTTTCTGATCCAGTGTCTCAAATCATATCACTTCCCTTCTGCTGCATCCTAGCACATTATTTGTTAGCATCAAGTCACCGAGGCTGGCCCGCTATATCACCACATCTAAGGCAGTGTCAAAGAATTTGTGGGCATGTTTTTAAGCTACCTAAAAGATACGGGCCAGCAGGTGGCGAGGTGGTTAAGGTGTTGGACTCCCACATAACTGACTGCAGTTCAAACTGGACCTAGCAGCTTACTTTCTCACTTTCCCTCTCTCTCTCTGTCTCTCTCTGGTCAAATGAAAAGAATAATAATGATGATGATAAATAAAATGAAATAATTCTTCAAAAAAGTAAAAAATTAAAGTGCCAAAATGATATATATCAGCTCTTTATTTCCAGTTCAATTTACCCATTACTGTCTGTGAAACCAACAAAGTCCATAAAATATTTTAAAGTTTATTTAGTGACCATTTTGCTACATTTATCTAGGCTAATTTTAAACAGTGAAGTTCCATTGGTAAAGAAATTATATATTAAGTGTTCTTTAATTGAGAGTCATAATTATGTATTTTGTTATATCAAGCTTGAGCTGGTGTCACTGGTATTATCATTAACAAAAGTATGTATCATTTTAAAAAAAATTTTGAGAGGTTTTTGCTTTAGGGGGTGTGTGCTTGCCAGAAAGACAGAGCGAGACAGAGAGACACAAAGTGAGAAATCACCTCCTGGATGGGATGGCCACGCTGCAACCCCTTCTCCTCCATTCTCCTCTCAGGATCTTGGGCACACACGCACACGTGCCTGGTGTGAGTTCAAGCCACTGGGTCTGGGACTCGAACCACGGTTGACTACATGGGAGTCCAACAACATAGCCATTACGTCAGCTGCTGGTCCCGCATTTTTAAATTTTTTGTTCACTAATTTTATTGATCTCCAAATTTTAATCACTATTTGTTATAGTTGCCTTATTTGAACTATGCTAATAAAACTATATGTCGACAAACTCTGTGTCATGTTTTGGTAGCAGTTAAGTCCAGTTTCATCAAAGAGTTCTTTTCTTCGATGCAAACTCTTCACCTGGAAGAGAAAGGAACTTCAAGCCTGGAGCTCCACTTTCTTCCCTTTAATATGCATGTACGCTACTGTGTCATCATTTTGAGCAACAAAAAGGTGAGAATAAATTTATGGTCTGTGTTTTTATCATGGGCTTCCACCTTATGGAATAAACAGTACTGATAACTCAAAGTTAGCTGGAGACTCTGGAAATGTAGATAATTTCAGCCCTCAAGTTGCTAAGTAAGGGGTTTATCCTCAAGAATATCTAGTTATACTAGTTTTAGGTAATTTTATAATGGCTGCATGAGGAAGTCTCCTGTGAGCAGAGTGAAGGCATGTCTAAACTTGCCGTGGTTCTCTCTGTATTAGTTATCTATAGCTGTGCAACAAATTACACTGAGTGGCTTATGGTGGTTTGTTTATTTTTATTTTTTTTAAAGGTTTTTGCCATAGGGCCTGTGCTCTTGCCAGAGAAAGAGAGTGAAACAGTGAGAGGGAAAGTGAGAAATCACATTCCAAGGGGAATGGCCACACCACAGTCCCTTTTCCTCTATTCTCCTCTTGGGGTTTTGGGCATGCATGCACATGTGCCCAGCATGAGTTTTAAGCTGCCAGATCTGGAACTTGAACCGCTGTCGACCATGTGGGAGTCCATTGCCTTAACCACTATGCCACTTGCTAACCCCAACAACTCATGTTTATGATCTCCCAGTTTCTGTGGGTCAGCTGTCCAGATAAAATCTAGATAGGTCCTCAGTTTAGGGTCTAATCAAGTCTTCAGTCAGAAAATCGGCCTGGGCTGGGTTCTCCTCAGAGGCTCAACTGAGATAAGATCAGTTTCCCAACTCTCTCAAGTTGTTGGCAGAATTCACTTTCTTATGTCTCTGGGATCCATGCAGATTTAATCTTCAGAACAAACAAAGGAGACAGAGAGAGGTGGAGGGAGGGAGGGAGAGATATGAGAAAGAAAGAAAAGAAAGACTACAGAGCATAGGTTTTATAGTATTACCCTTTGCCAGAAAGACACTACCATGTGTTGACTTGAGAAGGGAATTTATAACCCTCAGGACATAGCCTTAAATATATCATAATGTATACACAATAATGAGTACATATGCAATGAACGATGCTAATTGGAAAGAGGAATTATATTTACCTGGTATCTATAGAATCATTTACACATAAAAAGTAATATAACCTGGGAACAGCAGATGGTTTTATGGTTATGTCACTGGACTCCCATGTAGTTGATTACAATTCAAGTCCCAGACCCAGCAGCATAGAATTAATGCATGCACAGGTAAAATCTCAAGGAGAATGGAGGATGGAGGAGAAGGAATTGTGGCGTGATCATCCCTTGAGAGGTGATTTCTTACTTTCTGTCTCTCTGTTTTTTTCTATCTCTCTGGCAAGTGCATGTGCCCTATTTCTCAAAAAAAAAAAAAATATAGTCTATTAATATATAAAATATAGTTTAATTTTATACTGAAAATGACCATTTAGGAGGAAAAAATGTCTTTTTATATTAATGCTAAATTTTGTTTTTTATTTCCTTAAAAGTGTTCAGGATATAATTAAATTTCTTTAAATATAAAACTTGTTAAAAATAGCAACTATGGGGTCTCCAGTAGTTTTATTAAAGACTTCACAATCTTTTTTTATATGAATGTATAATAGAAACTTAGAAAACACTAGAGTTAATTTTCAATAGTATTATTAATGAGATTGATATTCTTTGAATTAGACTATTATAATATTAATATTTATTTACATAAATTTAATCTATAAATATAAAACTTGTTAAAAATAGCAACTATGGGGTCTCCAGTAGTTTTATTAAAGACTTCACAATCTTTTTTTATATGAATGTATAATAGAAACTTAGAAAACACTAGAGTTAATTTTCAATAGTATTATTAATGAGATTGATATTCTTTGAATTAGACTATTATAATATTAATATTTATTTACATAAATTTAATCTAAATTAATCAAACTATAATTAAACTTAACTTAGCACCTCAATTAATTAAAACATGACTTTTGATTGCATATATTCTATTCTTGTCATAGAAAATATTAGAAAAAAATATCAATCTTGAAATTAAATTATATTATTATTAATTGAGGAAGAATGCCCTCAATCTAAAGATTGCATTGAATTACAATTACTTATGTGAAGAAACACACCTATTAATTTACACCACATTCAATTATATTGCTAATTATTTTGAAAAATGCAATTACACGCTTAAATAGATAATCAAACATCCAAGCCTACCTAGTTAACTCCTGTTCTTATTAAATGTGCGATAACTGTTTTGCCATTAAGAACCACCTGTTGGAAGTAATTAGGTCTCTATTTGACAGCTTTCCATTTATAAAACAGAAACAGTTCTACTAACATTGCTATCAAGGAAGAGGCCATTTGTTTAATTTTGGCTGTTCCATTTGAACTTTCTAATAAAAAATGAAATAATTCATAGAACAACTGAAAGTACAAATATTTTTACAAAACTTCCACCAGTGTTTATTGAAGCCCTAAAAATTCATTATTTTGGACCAGCAGTTGGCGAAATGGCTATGTTGCTGGACTCCCACGTAGCTGACCACAGTTCAAGTCCCGGACTTGGTGGCTTAAACTCACACTGGGCACGTGTGCGTGTGTGCCTAAGATCCTCAGGGGAGAATGGAGGAATGGGGATTGCAGTGTGGCCATCCCCCCAGGGGGTGATTTCTCGCTTTCTGCCTCTCTATCTCTCTCTGTCTTTCTGGCGAGTGCTCGTGCCCTATAGCAAAACCCTCTCCCAAAATCCGTCCCCCCCAAATTCATAATATCAAATGCCAGAAATTCAAAGAGATTTCAGCTCTGATGTGGAATAGGGCAGATTAAATGGCAGAACCTCATGCAGAAATAGGACTCAACTCCTTAGCAAATGTGCCTTCTGGGA